CACTCGCTGTCTGACAATCTTCTTATGCTTTATCTATCACATTGCAGGAGGAGAGTCTCTGTTCTCTGATCTCTGTTATCTGTTTCCTTACCTACAAGATTATCTGTTTAAATACTGCTCTATTCAGAATAATTGTAATATTAAATGATCCTTTAAATTGGGATGGTTTGTCTGAATTAATTTAGTCGGCATCACACTCTAGCCACAACAACTGCTTTTTACAATGTGAGATAATGAATATTGAACAGAATTAAGTTCAAGTTATTGTTGGTAATTGCCCACCCCTGCTTTAGAGTGACATTATAATGTCCTGACAACAACTTTCCACCACAAGCACATTCCAGCCTGTGCTGGCCTGACTGACGGTGCTGTGTGATGTGTGCTGCTAGGACTGGACAAACTATCTTACAGTAACAAGGAGTAAAGCTCTGAGCTTAGAAAGGAAGTGGACATTCAGTTGTTAAACTGTTTACATTCAATCTGTTTCTGAATATTTCAGAGCTCTTATTTTGAAGGCAGACCAACCTCTGTGTGTGTGTCATTGCGCCACTGTGTGTGTTACTGTTCATCACTGTATTGCTTGGATTGTATAAGGGTTTTATTATGTGTGTGCTTGTTATTCTGTTGCTGTTTGTGTGTGTAAAAGTAGCAGGTGCATCGTTAAGTGATTCAGCAGTTTGAGAACACTACAGCAGATTTCAGTCAAACATGGGCTTTGAACAATTGACAATCGAAGAAAAACTACAAGTCCTATCAAAAAAAATCTCTTCACAATGAGCTGCAGGAGGTTTCAACAAACATGCTAATCACCTCTATGGCAAGAAATTCCACAAAATGAAGGAGCTGTGGCAATTTATAATCCCTGCACCTTTGCTTCAAGGAGATTTTCTGAATCGTCTTTCAGTGGCCGTCTATGAGAGAGTGAGGCAACACTGTCTCTGGAATGTGCCACGTCATTCAAAATCCGTTCATCCTAATAACAAGACCATTTTCTGATTCCTCACAGTTTTTTTCTACCATTTTCATGTATAATTTGTATGTGAAAGCTTAAGGTTGGAGCTAGAGTGCGGGTCATGTGACACACTCTAGCAGAGAAATTTCCAAAATCACCATAAAACAAACTGAGATTTCAAAATTATAAAAGATACGAAAAAGCTGAATACATGTTTAAATAGCTGAAGAGTTGCTGAATTGTTTAAAGGTTGAATGGTCCTTTCTAGCTGTGCAATAATCATGCTGTCTAATCAGCATCTGGATATGCCACACCTGTGAGGTGAATGGATTATCTCGGCAAAGGAGAAGTGCTCACTAACACAGATTTAGACAGATTTGTGAACAATATTTGAGAGAAACAGGCCTTTTATGTACATAGAAAAAGTCATAGATCTTTGAGTTCAGCTCATGAAAAATGGGGGCAAACATAAATGTGTTGCATTTATAATTTTGTTCAGTGTATGTTTGTATTGATCAGTGGTTGGCATCTTTGTTTCCTATTTAAATGCACATTGAGAGCCACTGCAGCAAAATCAAGAGTGAAGTCATATAGGTTTGACAAGTTGCAGGCTGGTATCTTGAATCTATGAGCATCACCATTATACAGATTAACACAATCACAGGCAGGGAACTAAAGCAAACTAACAGTATACAACAGCCATATTAGTCCTACATTAAACAAAAAGATTACTGGTACTAAATGTCACTGCTACAAAAAAATATACACAGCAAAGCCACTTGTACCAGGGACCTCGTGTTCTCAGCTGCAGGCTGATCCTGTTTGAAACCTCCCAGTAGGCCAGACCCCTCCTCCCTCCTCCTACACACCTGCTCCTCACTAGTTTCTGACTCTTTCTGACCGAGGGGAATAAATATCTCCGGCACAACACCAGTCAGTCAGAACTGATGAAGCCTCACGGATGAGAGGTGAAACTTCTTCGACCTAGAAATCTAGTCCAGTTGATTTTTTCTAAGTTTTTTTTAGCTTACTATGACCTGGATGACTGAGAATCTGCACAGACATATAAAACACTTTAATAGGTAGGAAGGCGTTATATAAGACCATTTATATAACTACATGTCAATACTTTACTCAGAGACGACATGCAGGCTACAAGGAAAAACTCCCAACCCCTCAAAAAGTGATAATGTGTGACAAAGCGCTGCAACTTCAGCCACAGTGAAGCTCTGCTTGCTTCTGTTATTAATTATCACTAATAATGGCTGTGAACTAATACACAATAACTGGTGAACTGGAGAGGTAAGTTCATTTACCTCTAATTGAGAATCCATGTAAATGTCAGATAGTTTGACACATCGTGTTCTGTAGGTGCAGTCACAGTGGTTGCTCTCTGTGCAGGGTAAAGACAAGTCAGATAAACAGAAATCAGTCTGGTGGGATGATACACGGACCACTACTACTTTGTTACAAGCCACAGTTCAGCATAGAAAGATTTACTTGGGTAAAAGGACATAAGCAATATCAGCTAAATGTACTTAGTGTCAAGAGTACACAGTGCAGTAAAATGTCCCCTGTGAGTGTTGATTAGATCACTATTACTGATGCGTCCCTGATGGGTGGAGCCTGTGACAGTGCAGTGGCGATGCAGCGATGGCAACCTGACATCAGACGGACTGATGGAGGAGAATCAGCAGCATCTTCTCTCTGTGTTTCCTCTACAGATGAAGCTCCACAGTCTCTGGGACTGGATGTGAACTCAGCAGCTGAGCATCTTCCCAGGAACATTGTCAGTGCTGCTGTTGTACTGACCGAATGCAGCTCTGCTATGAGTCTGTGTGAGGACAGAGAGGAGGGAGGCCATCCCTCTGAAAGCCCTCTGTGTGGGGACCATGAGAGCCAGAGCACAGCTCCCAGGTGAGATGAGGATCTCTGACTGTCCAGGACTCTTCTCCATGTCAGAGCTCAGCACCACACATCACTGCACCATCAGGATTCACACTCACTGTCACATCTGACACTCAGCTGCTCAGGAGCAGCTCAGAGCTCCTCATTAACTACTGACTGTCTGAATGAACAGAGAGCCGACTGGGATGAGACAGTGTCTGTCATCAGACACATGGTGGAGGACGTTACTCATTAACTGGCTTCTTACTGGTTTTCTGTCTGCTTCCAGCATTTGAACTGGTCCCAGTCTGCTCCCAGCTCAGTTGTTTTCAGGTTCAATCTACTTTTCATTTGACACTTGTTTGTATCAGGAGGCGGCGGCAGAGACCAGACCGTACTGAACCCAGCTGTGTGTCTGTGAAGACCGACTGGTCTAAGGGTATCATTACTAATTTTAAAGATGGGCAACCTGTTAAAAGGTAAGAATTCAAACCTCATCTTTATTATCTGGCACTTGTGAGAAGAGGACCTGTGACTTGGCCCAGAGCTTCACAGTCTGTTTCAGGACTGAACTCCCTGCTTAGGAAACTGTTCAGTCAGGTTCAATCTACTTTTCATTTGTCACCTGTTTGTATCAGGAGGCGGCAGCAGAGACCAGACTGTACTGAACCCAGCTGTATGTACATGACAAGGTATTTTTTAAGCTTTGTTTTTATCTGCATCTCCTACCGAGGTGACTCATGTCTTGTTTCAGGACTGAACTAACTGCTGAGGAAACTGCTCATCTTCCTCCAGCAGTTCCACAGTTGTTGTTGGTACCTTGTAAACAAACAAACAGTCAGGCTTTAAAGGTGTCAAGTGAGCCACACTAGTGAGCTGGGGTGAGCTCTTCTCTCTGAGAGCTGATCAGGACGGCAGCTACTGTGGCCAGCAGGGCCGTGTGTAGACCTATATGTAGTTCAGATTGTTATTGAGCCATACAGCTCCTGGAAAACACCCTGGTTTCTTCCTCCCTCTTGACTCCTGACCGAGTCGTCTGCCAGTCACCTGCCGTCCTCATGTCATCGCTGCAGGAGTCTGATCTCCTCAGTCAGCTTTAATAAGTAGTGTCAGGTGTGAGTCCTGGCTTTTTCTTCAAGTCTCTGTTTCCTCCCTAGAGTTCAGCAGCAGAACTCAGAGGTTCACAGTGATCAGTCTGCACAGCAGCATCAGCCAGACCTGGACTCCATATTTATGGTGTGTACATGTGCACTCACACTTTGTCCTAGAAACCACACAGCACACAGAGTGATCACTAAACACTCACTCAGGTCCTGACAGACTCCATGCTGCTGTGTTCAGACCAGCAGACTTCAGACCAACACAGGAATCACATGTTGGGTTCGACCAGTTTCACTTCGCTGTTCACTTTCTCATTCTTTTCCAGCTGCTGGAGGAGACCATGGTCACGTTTGTGAAGAATGAGCTGAAGAAGATCCAGAAGGTCCTGAGACCAGATTACCCAGAATGCTTAGAGAGTCTGTGGGAGGATGAGGAGGAGTTGGGCAGTGAGGATGAAGAGCGGAGGAGGAGCAGCAGAGAGTCATTTCTGAGATCACAGTGAACTTCCTGAGGAGGAGGAAGCAGGAGGAGCTGGCTGAGCGTCTGCAGAGCAGTAAGAGGGTTTGAACAGGTTGTTGCAGAAGGAGGAGGTGGCGGGAGCGCCGAGGACCCCACATCTCTGACTCGGAGGGTGGGAGGCGAAGGGCCCTCAGCTCGTGATGCATCGCACACCCCGCAGAAGGAGGAGGACGCGGGAGTGCCGAGGATCCGACGTCTCTGACCCGGAGGGTGGGAGGTGCCGGGTTCTTGGTTCACGACACATCGCACACCGCGTATCAAGAGGAGGAGGAGGCGGTAACGCCGAACTCCGGGGCTGCACCCTCCATTGTGCGCCTCCCCCGTGTGTGTGAGGGAGCCAGAGCTGCTCCTGGGGGCGCATCCTCCATTGGGTGGCGCAAGGTTCCGGGCCGTGCATTTTATTTGACATTAGATTTGGTTAGACCGAGTGGAGGAGTGCAGAAACAACAAATAACATGAGAAGATGACCAAGCATAGGACAAAGGAATTAAGAAAAAGGTAAAGAAGAGGAGAGGAGATGTGGTTGGTGCATGAAGTGAAGCGAAGTAAAATTTTATTTTTATTAATTTCATTTTATACAGTTGTCATGAACCAATGATCTGTGCCTCTGTTTTTTTAAAAACGTTTAACTACAGCTTCTCTTGTCTTCTATTTATTTTTCAAAGTGAGGAGAGAGGAAGTGGTGGAGGGCAGGATGAAGTGTGACACCTCTCATGTGCATGGTAAATATCAATTTATCTAATGATAACGATTTTACTGTATGTAGTCATCGGTTCCCACTTCATCTGAATTTAAAAAAAAATTTCATTTTGTCTGACATTTTTTTTCAGGAGTACATATGAGAGGAAACCAAAATAAGTAATGAATAGATGAGCAAACCAAAAGGAAATGAGGAGGTGGTAGGCTAGTGAGCTGTGCACAGAGCGTGGCTCAGACCGTCAGGGATATATCCCTGACTCCAGAGCACAACGAGTCACGGATACCTGCCAACTGTTTGTTTGTTGTTGTTTTGTTTTTACTTGTGTTTCTGTCAGGTCTGCTTGGCTTTCTCTTTTCTCTCCGTCTCTCTTTCTGGTTCTCTCTACAGTTTCCTCTCTCTATCCACTCGATTTTTGTGATTTGGCAATAAACAAATCGTATTGAACTGGTTGTGCCAGCAAAGCTAAATTTTTACTTGCTGCATAATTTTACAATAAAGAATTGAAATGAACCCTTCTGATTTGAATATGCATTATTGTAGGTTTACTGTATACGTATGTGCACACATATGTACATTGAGGAAATAAACTGAATGTCTTTAAAGTACACATCTGCAGCTTCAGGGCCGCGACCGTTTGATTACAGACATGTGAGCTTCAGTGAGGGCTTTTAAAACCAAGCTGCGCCTATGGGAGACGCAGATGCTACAAGAAAACTTTAGGCATTTTACTTTTCAATCATAGACGGCAAGGTGAGGCAGCAAAATTGCCTCTGTCGACCTATAGGAACAGAACCAAAGAAGAACCAAATGAGGACATTATGCAGTGCCTTTCAAAACTGGAACAAGATTTGAGTCATGAGTTTACCAGGTTGGTGATAACAGGGAAGAGAGGCCACAACTTCGTGCCCCTGGTACTCCAAATGGAGTTTCATGCCTCTGGTATTACACTGTGTGGGAACAGAAATTTTTCTATGTCCCAATATTGAGTACCAGGACCACAGGTCATAAATTTTTTTACATGTAACTGGCAGCATTGTTTGTTTGTTGTGACAAGGATCTGAAATGAAGATAATCATAACGTCACACAGAAGTCGTCTTACTGATGAACAGCTTCACTCAATCCTGAGGATTTCCTCAGCTCAGAGCCTGACCCCAGACACAGATGAACTTGTATCCAAGATGAGCCACCAAGTGTAAAAGCTGCATAATCGACACAAATGTCCAAGATTGATTGTATAATGGTCAAGTAGAAAAGTGCAGTTATTGTTCAATTGTATTGTTTAAAGTGCAGTTATTTTATTGTCCATTTATTAAAGTTTAAGGTATGGTCTTTTTTGTTTAGTTGGCCACGTTCAGGTCTCAGAAAAGTATTACAGACTGCAAACTGAGCTTTAATGCATGTTTATTTATTTATTTTTACTTGCTACTACAGGGCATCTGATTTCTCTTTGAATTAAATTTATTTCTGGCTGTTGTTGGCCTGTAGAAAAAAATGTTTTCACTTTATGCAGTGTTTCCAGAGTAATTTAAATAGCCATAAGAAATGAACGCAACTGATTTTTCATTTATTTAATGATTGATGTTGTTTTATAGGAAATAACTTCTGTTCATTGTTCAGGTTCAGGTCATTTCAATTTGTTTTCAATAAATACTTAACCAGTCCGGCCCTCGACTTGGAGCATTTTTAACCTTAACCTGTTTTTGACCTTACATTTTGTTGTCAGTTTGTTCTGCACATAGTCTGTATCATTCTGTGACTTGGCTTGGTGTAGGTGTATTTCTTCCCACTATGTACTGAACATGTATGTCAAACAACTTTTTGTGATTCCTCACAAATAAAAAGTCTAAATATAAATGTTGACAGTCTATGAAATGACGTTAAAATTACTCTGACTCTTTGTGTCTTACTCTGGTGCGGGCACATTCATGTAAAATGACACATTATAGTGTTTTAGCAGTGAAAACAGTCTCCATCGCTGTAGCTGTAGTTTTATTTTCTGACGTTGCAGTGTGCTCCGTGATGACGTCACGATACCAGAGTCTAAAGCCTGGTGAACGGACACGTTCATCGCCGGGTGCGGTGGCGCGCGCCTGTAATCCAAGTTACCGGGAGGCTGAGGCTGGAGGATCGTTTGAGCTCAGGAGCTCTGAGCTGCAGTGGGCTACGCTGATCGGGTGTCCGCACTAAGTTCGGTATCGATATGGTGCTCCTGGGGGAGCCCGGGACCAGCAGGTCGTCTAAGGAGGGGTGCACCGGTCCAGGTCGGAAACGGAGCAGGTCAAAGCCCCCGTGCCGCTCAGTAGTGGGATCGCGCCCGTGAATAGACGCTGTAGTGCAGCCTGAGTAACACAACGAGACCCGGTCTTTTTACACCCACCAGTGAACTACAGTCACAGCACACACACTCCAACATTATATCTTTACATCACACAACAGCTCCAGTAGAGCGAGAGTCCCTCCATTATGACAAGGCTTACACTTGGCACACATTATACTCTGCTAGTCTGTTGTGGCCTGCTGCAGGTTTGATATGCTGGCATTAGCATCAAGCATATGCAGTGGAATTAACATATGGATGGGCTCTGGCAGCAAGAAACAACAAAGTATGAATCATTTTGGTACTTGCCAGGAATTGATAATGGAAAAATCCCATCTCCCATTTGCCTTGTGTGTTCAGGCAGAGCGGTGCTTTGAGTTAAATGCTATTGTTATGCATGCCAACAAAATGGTAACATGTTGATGTTAAGCAGGCACAGCTGTGACTATATTCACCATCATTATTTAGTGTGTTAGCAGGCTGATATTTAATAATTAGCAGTAAAATCAAATAGTCATTAGTTTATCGGGTATTTGGCCATAAACTAGTAAGTAATGGACAAATTTTGATCCTAATGGTAGCACTAAGTAAAGGTCAGAGAGTCACCAAAAGTATTACAATCATCCTGAGGAAGATATTGATGTCTTTACCAAATATCATGGAAATGCATCTAATAGTTGAGAAATGTCACTAAAAATCAAACGTCATCATCATGGTAACAGGAGCATCACCAAAGTCATTAGGCTTCATCATCTGGACACTATGTATGTCTGTACAAAACTTCATAGAACTCCATCTAATAGCTGATATGTAGCAGTATTCATCAATCCATCATCTAATTTAGCCCTCATAATAACAGCACTTTCTAGAGCACCTCCTTTAAGTGATGTAATCACCCTGTCCACCAGTGCTTTTCCCTCTGTTGCATCTATGTAGCAACAGCAGACCAGCTTTTAATGACTTTGCATAACTGATACATTAATGCAGTGGTTCTCAAACATTTTTTGTCATCCCCCACTTAAGAGGGTGGGCGAATTTTCAAGCCCCACTTGTCAAAAAATTATAACAAAATTGGCCAATTTTAAAATTTCAAATTGATTGAAATATCAAATAACACTAAGTTGAAAACGGATAAAATAAAAGTGCAACTGTATCGTTTGACAGAGGGATAGTTTTCAATTTTACAGCATTTGTTTCATCCAGCATAATCGACACCATGTCTACAGTTACAGGGAGAATGAGATGCTCAGCAACTGACTGGGGTGTGTTGTCTCTAAATGTCTTCATTTGTTTGGTCTAATGCTGTCTGCTGCCAGCGGCTTAAGACATAAGTGGACATTTCAAACAACCAGCCACAGCAGAGCTCTTAGCAGCTAAAATTCTGAAATAATTGCTGCCAAACTGAAGAGGTGACATTCTTTTGCACAGAGAGTGGGACAAAAAAACAACAACAAAGAAACAGGGTTAATATCGGTTTGACATTTTGAGATGGAGAGTGTTCTTTCGTGGCCCATGTAACACATTTATCCATGTACGTTATTATGCATTTAAACTAACACGTGTTTATTTTGGTAACACTGGCAATGTAGCATGGCCATGACTTTACCTTTGTATCGAATTACTATGATTTTAATTTGTGAGTTATTTAAGCTTTGTCAAGTTAGTGCTTTACCACTTTTGCAGTAATCAGAGTATACTACTAGAGTATATTGGTATACATTGGTGCTAGGGAACAGAATGTGGTGGGAGGGGCAAAGAGCAGTTAGGAGCAGCTTCTGGTGTCTGCTTCTTTTGAGTCTCACTGGAGCCTCTGGCAGCTGAAAGGAGATTAGGAAGAGTAGCTTTAACCTACGACATGACTGTTTCAAAGTTTTCTGTGGTGCTGAATACCTTATTAACACGAGACATGACTGCAAATATGGCAGCGTCTGCAATCACAGTTGTTTCAGTGCCAGCTTTGGAGAGACTGGTTGCCATCTCATGTCCCTGGTGGGAGATGAACAAATAAGATTAAAATGATAATTTAAATTTTTAATGACAACAATTTTCTTATCTTCTACATAAAACAATACATTTCAAAGCTCTTCTTGTATCTTTCATGTGCTTAAGCTACCTGGCAGAAGGGGGCGCACTCTGCCACGATGACATGGAACTTGCGTTTACGTGCAGCGTCTTTGAGGAAGGCCTCCACGGTACGAGAACGGCCAATAGTCATGATGACCTCATTAGAGTGGATGTGCTCTAGGGCCTGCATGGCAATGTTGTCAGTTGTTCCCTCTGAAAAATGAAATAGTCAGATAAGCAAACACAAAACCTGTTAAACTAACAGAGGAAATGCAGCCTTTGCTTGAGCTTAACTGATGAATAACTAACAACTGATGATGACCTGCTTATTAAAAAAAAAAAAATACAATTACCCAGCTCAGTCAGCAACTCATTGATGGCCTCAATGACATTGGCTTTGAGAGTGGGGAAAGGAGATCTGAAGTTCTCCTCACTGGGTCCTCCTGAAGTCAGCAGCTTATGGAGAGATTCTTGCTGGTCTGTCTCTTCATTGCTACCTTGAAACCTGCAGAAAACAACAGAGCAAACAGGCTCCACACAAAGGAGATACTGTGCACAGATATGCCATTTTTGCAGAACACACCATTTGTTTTCATATGCACAGCATAATATATTACAGAGTAGACAGGGGATCCTGGAAATGCATAATGCAAAAGAAAGTTTGAATGGTTTATTTTAAAAACAATCTGCCTCTGTCAAATAATTCCAGTCAAAATGAAGGCTTGTTGGTGCTTTCTTTGTTTCTAGCCCTATATAGTGTGTCATACTGTCCACTGTTTGGATTACATTTTTAAAGTTTTTATTATACATAATGAACACCAACAATACTACAGGTTACATATATACACGCATTACTGATTGTGATTCTAAAACTACAAAGTTTAAAGAAAAAACTAAAATAAACAAACTAAAATAAACTAAATGAAGACATCTAATCTTCAGGTTTTTGGTTACACTTTGTTTTCCAGGAAATTATTTGAAAATATGGACCTCTAAAATAATATAATAAATTTTGTTGGGCTACACTTAAAGTTAAATTTAGTCTAATGAGCATGTCAATTATTAGTTTACTACCAATGAAGCGGTGTATAGACTGCTTTGTGCCACATTATTAAAGACCATCAGTCAGCAACTCATTGATGGCCTCAATGACATTGGCTTTGAGAGTGGGGAAAGGAGATCTGAAGTTCTCCTCACTGGGTCCTCCTGAAGTCAGCAGCTTATGGAGAGATTCTTGCTGGTCTGTCTCTTCATTGCTACCTTGAAACCTGCAGAAAACAACAGAGCAAACAGGCTCCACACAAAGGAGATACTGTGCACAGATATGCCATTTTTGCAGAACACACCATTTGTTTTCATATGCACAGCATAATATATTACAGAGTAGACAGGGGATCCTGGAAATGCATAATGCAAAAGAAAGTTTGAATGGTTTATTTTAAAAACAATCTGCCTCTGTCAAATAATTCCAGTCAAAATGAAGGCTTGTTGGTGCTTTCTTTGTTTCTAGCCCTATATAGTGTGTCATACTGTCCACTGTTTGGATTACATTTTTAAAGTTTTTATTATACATAATGAACACCAACAATACTACAGGTTACATATATACACGCATTACTGATTGTGATTCTAAAACTACAAAATTTAAAGAAAAAACTAAAATAAACAAACTAAAATAAACTAAATGAAGACATCTAATCTTCAGGTTTTTGGTTACACTTTGTTTTATGGGTTTGACTGTTCCAAAGCACAGCATTTTTCCAGGAAATTATTGGAAAATATGGACCTCTAAAATAATATAATAAATTTTGTTGGGCTACACTTAAAGTTAAATTTAGTCTAATGAGCATGTCAATTATTAGTTTACTACCAATGAAGCGGTGTATAGACTGCTTTATGCCACATTATTAAAGACCAAATATACATGTCCTAAACAAAAATCTAAACCCTAAATGAATGTAATAAATAAAAAACAACATCATCAGGCCAAATAGACACTGTTGATTAATAAACAGCTGTTGCTTTAGATTAGGTCCTATGGTGGCAGCCCAGAGGACTCTGCTGTTTACATAGGCAACAAATCCAGATTCGCATTCATTACATTCAAGGAGTGTATTGTAATCAGAGACGTTAACCTACACGTATAACATTTCCAGTGCAATGACTGGTATCAGCAGCAGAGAATCACCTGGCGTATTCCTCTCTGATGATCTTCAGGACCCGCCTGATCATATTACCAACAGTGGTCTCTGACGGCTGGGATGCAGTCATTCTCCTCCCCTCTTTACGGATTATTTCCATCAGGTCGCCTGAAACAAAACATTTTTATGGAAATAAGATATTTATTAATGCTAACGCTTTTGGCAAATTCAATCTGTAACTTGTCCTACTGCCGAAAACCTTCACCAGAAACAAATCCATCTGAAAAACTTGTCAAACTTTTGTGTTACCATAGCCGTTACAGCAGTTACAACAGATTTAATAAAGTCCGCATTATTCAGCTACAATTTCATCTTTCATACTAGTGAGCTGTACCGCTCTACTGTCCGAGTCAAACTATAAATTAAGAAACAAGACTAGTAGTTAGCATGAATCACCTGCGTTGCTCCACCGAGCTTGGGCTGTGATTCTGCGGAGCAGAGCTGTCGTTTCACGAGCTGTCTCCGCAGAGCCTCGCAAGGGGCCCACCCCGCTCCCCCCACGCTTCAAGTCGGTCAGAAATGCTTCAATTCTCTCCGTCAGATCTGTTTCTCTGTCTGGGCCCGGCATTTTTGTTATATAGTCAACCTGCTAACCAGACTAAAAACTAGGAAACTGAATTTCTATCGTGCAACGGATCAGGAAGCTGAGAGGAGTACATCCGGGTGATTGTGACAACGGTTTCGTGTGATTGGTGGACTGTTTCTTGACATGTTGCATCACTTCGAAGCGTTTTACGTGCACCCGGAAATGTAAGATTCTCTTGGATCATAAAGTATAGGTTTTCTGTTCGTTTCACTTGTCCGGTATTTTTGCTTTAGATAAAAGCATCTTCCAAATAAATGTATAGTTTTAATCTTCTCTTTAAAGCGAACTATGGACGTAAACACTTGTATTCATGTGAATATTTACATAAATCCCTTCAGGACATTAATTAAAAATTATACATGAACACTATTTAAACATGTAAGGGAAATAGTTTATAGTTTGAAAATAACATTGGTCACTACTGTGACCAGCCGCACAACCAAATATATGCATCATTTTAACATATTTAGGAGTAATTTACACTTCACATTAAACTGCTGTGCTATAATCGTTTACTCCTAACTTGGTGTAGCAAACACTATATATGAATGACTAGTCTATATCTGCTGGTAAAATACTTCTGAATGTCCAAAACTGCCTTTCAGAGCCCATATTAGAATCTCAAGTATGAAAATACATAAGACTATATTATAACTAATGTAAATCCATCCAATATTTTATTGAATAAAAGCCCAACACAAATTTACAAAATTTATCACTCAACATAAAAATCACTGATTGCGCACAGTGCGCATGTTCACCGTTAAAAATGTACCCATGAGCGATGCCTCAGTGAATCCCAGACAGAATACTTGCAACCACCCTAACCATCATGTAACCCAAGAATCCTAAGTATTTCTAAAGAAAACACTGGATGAACCTGTAAGTATTATGACCGAGAAGTGGTTTCCGAAAAAGAAAAAAATAAACTCCCCAGTTTTTAAAGAAATGAGGCATGTGACTAATAGTACATTTCAAAAATGGTTTGAACAGCCTACACTTTCCATCAAAACCTCCCTTCACTGTACTCTACTGAAACTTGCCCAAGTATACTGTATCATGAAATCAGGGGGTTAATTTGCTCAGCCAAAAACACCAGACACTGCAAATTCCTTCCTTATGACAAGGTTTTTGGTTTCTGGCTACTTCAAATGAATGTTCAGATGTTCCAAAAACAAAACTAAAACACACAAGAGCTAATAGAAGTTACCTAATATATAATTACAGGCAACCCAGCAACCCACCCCCCAAAAATATACCTGTGGAAGCAACTAAGTAGCATTTACAACATGAAAAACTAAAGACACTTAAATTTAGCTACCAAATATGTATGCAAATTAAGTGACAAAACAAAGTTCAGTGGTTGCCAATTTTCTCAAAGTAACAACAAACCACTTTTTCAGCCTTCATTTGATAAAAGGGCACCAAGGACCTATAGTTTGCTTGGCATGGCATAGAATGTGTACATCAACAGAAGGGCAGAAGACATTCGCTCATGGCACAACCATTCAAAGTGAGCTCAAGGCCAAGGATCACTGTTCAACTGGTTTAAAGAACAAGTTCTTATTTAGTGAGCTGCAACATTCAAAACAGTGCAGAAAGAAACAGGAAGTACCATGGAGATGGACGTATCTCACCCATGCAGTGGCATACGCCTCCCATGTCTCACAGTGGACTTCTCCCTACAGCGCTTTTCATGTTTTCAACCACTAAATAAGCAGGTGAATCATTTTTTTTTTTTCAGAGGACAACCTTGGTACTCTCTCGCTCTCTCTCTCTCTCTCTCACAGTCGTGAAAACTAGCTCCTCAACCCCACTTGCTGTTGCTTGCTGAAGTTAGTCCAACGAGGGTGGATGCTGGGATGTGTTGGCTGACCGGCGGGCACCTTCCCCTGAGGTAAGGAGCTAGGGGCTACTCTACTCGATCAGCTTCTTTGCCTTGAAGAAGCGCCGCAAGTAGAAGACCTGCCATGTAGCCAGCCCAATGAGACAGCACATGGAGAATATGCTGAAGTACAGCACACGCGTGTTGGTGGACTCTGTAGAGGGGTGAAGAAAAGAGAGGTAGCCACGTTATTGGCCAATGACAAATACTTTGTGCTCATTTAACAAACGAATAAAAAACCTGTACTCTCCTGATGTATTCTAAGAAAACTTTATACAAGTATATTCTATGCGAGTTAATTATGATCCAATCATGTGTCCATTCTCCATTTTTCATATGTGCCGTTTCAGCATAGAGACTTTTTTTCCCTTACCATTGGTGTCCCGCATCTCCTCCTCTCTCTTCTTCATGTAAGCAAAGTCATTGACAATGGATTCAGACAGGTCCTCCAGTCGCCTCAGCTCAACCTCAAGAGGCTTCAGCTTCTCCACCTTGGCAATCTTGGAGGGGATCAAACATTACTAAATCCATCAAAAAGCAATGCCTGAGAGGCCTCAGTTCTATACAGCACAAGCAGTATCATTGTGTATTTCGTCCAGCAGGTGTCACTCCTAGACTGTGTACAAACCTCAGATGTGTCTGTGTAGTGATGATTCAGGAATAGGTCACCAAAACTTCCTCCTGAATAGCTTACCAGTCAACTGACATGGCTTATTTGTGCAGCTTTTGTTTTGTTTGTACTAAGTTTAACTGAACCCCAAATGGACAAAAACACAGTTCTCTCTCTCATTTTGGTCCTGGCTTAAATTGTGCATCAAATAAGCAGAGAACAAAACACTGGATACTGAGGCTAAGTGGAAATTCTTAAACACTGTACAATTGCACCATTTCATGAAGAGCTTGTAAATTTGCTCAAATGAACACCTATTTATATGGATAAATGCATATGCAACCTTGGCTCTACCTGCCTGCCTGCAAGTAGACATGCTCACTTGAGCTCTCCCTGAACAACCACCTACCAAAATCAGCAGAACAGAGCATCATGTTCATGTGTGGACAGGGAGGCAATTCACAGCTCAAAGACTTTGATTTATCTGTCTGCCGAGGTTGTGGCTTATTTTAACATTGTGCTACAGCCGCAGGGAAAGGTCTGTATGAATGCATCTTGCATTTCTTGAATCCGCAGCCATTTTGGTTCCAAGATAGTTTGATATATGATGGCCATTTACTGACTAGGGTTGGCGACCAAAACTCAGTTCCAATTTGGAACTGAATCCAAAATACCAAGCACAAGGTACCTGTTTAAAAAAAACAAACAAAAAAAAAAACAGAACACTCTGCTTATTGGTTCCTAAACACAAACCCCTGCAAACAATATTCTCTGCAAGGATGTATGTAGCTACTTGCCAGAACTTGTCTATATGACTACGTCCTGCAACAGTGCAACAGCATGTCCATTTGTTTACATACGAGCTAGCATGATTGGCTAATACCCCTGCATTATTTTACAACAACATGTAAGATGGAATATTGTAAATGGTCTGAAGTGTGGCTTCACTTTAGAAAAGAAAACGATGACAACATTTAAGGCAGCATGGTGTCGATCTGAAAGACTGTACAGTGTTTGGTGCTTCACGGCCTCTGAGCCCAAGTGTGTCATCTACTGATGCTAGTAGCACCTTGCTAGCACCTCCAGTAGAGCCAGGGGCAGCTGAGGAGTACCAGAGAGTGGTAACAGCATTTGTGGCAAAAGGGCTCGATAAGTAGCTTTCTTATAAATATGACATACAACAGGCAGCTCAAAATGTTATCCACAAAAGGTTCAGCTGCTACGGCTTTTCATTTGTTGTCATGGAATAAATGAGATCAATGTTCATACAGTTCTTTAAGATGGCAATTACTGATGTATGCAGGAACAAAATAACATTCTCTTCTGCCAAGTATCCACAAATAAGAGGTTGTGTTCTTTGGTTAACTTAAACATCACTATTTTTAAGACAGATTCTTTAATATGCAAATAGAGATTGAGAATATCTGTTCAGGCTCAAAGATGACTTGTGGGGGTTTCCTTTTTCTAACTGCTGCTGCCTCAATGTAACAAAGCACAGTAACTGCCTATTACAATTCTGTTTACATATTTAGTAAACTCTTGTAAAAAACTAAAATACTGTTTACTTTGTGAATGCTCAGATAACATTTAAAGTATATCTTTTTTTTACCGTTTTGGAAACAAACATGTGGCTTTCTAGTTTGTCAAATCAGAATAGCAAATCAGAATCAGCTTTTATTGGCCAGGTGTGTTGAACACATAAGGAATTTGACTCCATTTCAGTGGCTCTCAATGTGTATGTGCAATGTTCACAAACAAAAGTATATTTACAGAGATATATTTACAGGTAAATATATTTAGTCAAACCCCTGCTGCAAGACCAAACATCCAATGGCCCAGTGTATAAGCTGGAAACTGACCTACTTTAGCTACAAAAGCAAGCAAATGGTCCAGACTCAAGACACTTACCTCCTCATAGTTTTTGGCCTCCACGCCATGCTTCATGTCCAGATTGACCAGCTGGTCAGGCACTCTTCCAGTTCCTGGTTAAAAAGAGCAGAGTTTTCAACATCATATGTAAATAACTGAAATAGAAAACACTAAATTGATGTCATTCACTATGCTATGGTCTATTTACTGATATTAAAAATTCTTTTGGATTTCCTTAAACATTGCTACCATCAAAAATGCTCATCATAAACTCTGACATTCAATGTGTTATCACTCAATGGTAAAGACAAACTAATTTTACTACATGTGCATGATGAAAACAGCTACAGTGCAATATACATTTCTCTGTTAAAGTAGAATAATTAAACTGCCTTTTAGAATCAGTGGTTCTGGTTATACAGTATAAGCTGTGAGCTGACTGGTTTTGTGTGTTAACAACACACTTACCCATGGGTGACTTGCTCTCAAAGCACACCTCAAACATGTCATAGTCCTCTGTGGTGAATGCAAACTTTCCTTTTGTTGCATCTTCCTTGGAGTAAAGAGTGTGGCCAGAGGAATCTGTGATCTGGAAAGTTAAATAATGATAAATATTAATGTGTTGAGTATGTTAACGAAAAACTAACTACAGATCAAAACAAGGTTGTAACTCAGCAATTTTTAATCCTTTATTAAGAGACAAGTCTACTTGTCTCTTAATAGACTGTCCCTTGTCTCTAGTACACTTGTCTCTGGGTTCAGCATCATAAATTAGGATGATTTGCCGTTTTTCTCCATTTTAAATCATGTTAAGATGAAACTGGTTATATAAAACAAGCAAGATTCTTGCATCAGTGCTGGGAAATTGTGCTGGGCATTTTAGTAAGTTCTGTCATAATATGGGTTAAACTATAATTTAAAAAGGGTTTAAATTGCATGAAACTTCTGGTTACTTGCAGTGCTATTTAACTGCATTAAAATAGAAGTATATCGTTCAACAAAAATAATTTCCTATTTGACAACATTAATACAAGTTTTAATTTGGCAGCTATTAGAACAAAGACTTTTTCAAAAGTATATTAGATTTTTTTCATGAAGATGCACAGTCTTGATAAAACCATGCACACGGCCCTGTATGATTTATGGAAGAAATCTTATGACCATATTTATTCAACTTTAAATACAAGCTGTCGTTGACATGTGAGATGCTACTGTGGCTAGCTTGTGTTTGCCATCTGAATGGACGATAAGACTGACGTGTAATAGCAGCAGAACCCGTCCGCTGACACTAACGGATTTATTGCACATAACACTACAGACAGTGACTGTGAAATAAACACCCACACTTGGTGACACAATGGGCGTCCATTTGTTCAAGAGTAAAGCGACTTTAGCGCTAACTATGTCAAAATGCACACAAGACTCAAGTACGATAGTGTTAGCATGCAACTAACGTTATTTCCTCATTAGCCAACTTAGCTACTAAAACGAGGAAACCGAGCATTTCGGGGCCTAGGCTAGCTACAAATCTAACAGCAGTTGTTATTTATTTCAGTCGCAATCCAACAACAGTTGAGATTATATTTAACTTTAGCGTTAGCTATGAACACGCTTTTAATCATTACCTTACTTAGACTGTACCAGTCCGTGAAGCCATTTCGGCCTCAGTGCTAACTGTTAGCCGTAGCTAGCCGCAAGTCAGCGCTCACCTTCAGATTAGTTTTAGTGTTCGGCTGTTCGCTTATTTCATACTCCCCCGTGACGAGGACGTCTTTGTGAATCTCCTCCCGTAAACATTTTCTAGAGTTGACCGGTAAAAAGAAGGAAATGGAAAATACCGATTCGATAAGAACCGGTAACAGCAACAACGCAGCGACACGACCCATGTCTACCGTACGTTCCAAACCAGCCCGTGTCAGGTGCTAGCCCACCAGCTTAACACTAAGGTCCAGCTCTCACAACCGGTCTGACCTAACACTCCAGCGCCACCGCTGACCTGGAGGGAGAACTACACTCCAACTACTGACCTCTATGTGCTTCTGCTGCTGCTGCTTCTTCTACTTTTACAATTTGAGGCAGTGTAGAGGCAACTGGACGTGTTATTGCCCTCGATAGGTATGCGAGATAGTCTAGTTTAATAACTATTCATACCCTCGAGTATAGTCCTGTATTTTGCAAAAACTGAATAACTGCCCTTGCAACGAAATGGTGGTTCTTAAGTAGCCAAGCAATGCTTTAACTGAAAAACAGGTAATCTCTAAATCAGATTTTTTTTGAATAATTTACTTCTTTCCACGTTAAAATTCCTACAGTATATCAAAATATGAGGAACTTTCTCAGAACTACCAAACTCACATAATCCGTCTGGATATTTCTCTACTATCTGCAAACATTTATTTAACCCAGAGTGCTCCAGCTTTATTCTAGTTAACTTAACTGTATCCCTGCAGTCTCCGTAACAATAAACAATTTTCCGAATATTAGGTTGAAATTTAGAACACTCTTCCTCTGACTTCCTCTTCCCACTGATTTTGCCACTCCCTCTCAATACCTTTTTTAATTTTACTTCTGTATTCAACTATCCCATAAGGAAAATGAATATCGACCTCTCCTTTACTTAAAACTGACTTTGCAATACTGTCTGCAATTCAATTACTCCAAACCCTGCTATGCTCAGGAACCCAGCATAATCACACTTCCCATCAAAGCTTTCCAACTCTAAACAAAGTAATTAACATCTTGATAATAAGGTCCGGTCGAGATTTAAGCCTCCTTCCAATTAAAGTCAGTAAAGCTGCAGCTGAGTCAGAACAAATATTTCTATCTATAATAAAGGCCAGAGCATCACTAACAATTCAGTATATCTTACTGTGACACATACAACCCAAATCCTGCCTTACCACTCTTTGGGTCTGTGGGGCTATCAGTAAGTATCTTTAAAAAGGATCTCATTGATTTATCCAGGTATTTATCAGTATAAAAACTGAATTCACTAGAGTCCTTTTCTAAGAGTAAAGATCAGGGGGTAAAATCAGTATCTGGTTTTGCTTGGGATGAGTACAATTATTGATCAGGGTGTCTCAGCCTCCTCTAAAGAATTTTCTTATGTCCATCTATGGGAGTCAATAATGTTTGAGTCAAAATAAAATCATTAGTATTATTCAAAAACTTAATTTACTCCCTGTTACAGACCTCAATCCATTCCTTTCTTTTGCTTTACACACCCATCCATGGATTGCTTCATGCGTGCTACAGTGTACCAGTTATGACATGCATAGTGTGCATATGTGCATACCATGGTGTACAAACCCTGACCACTGCATCTCAGCTTGTATTTTATTTTGACATTTTGGATTAGGACAACAAATTAATTATTTTCCAATTATTATCAATCTAAATTAATCCACTGGGAAAAGAACTTGTTAAAACTCAAATGTGTGACTTTACTGGGGCACAGCAGATCAATACTGGGGTATGTGCCCCAGTAAAAGGGGTCTAATGGCACCTATGGGTCATGGCCCCCTGCCCCAGCTGCCCCTTGGGGATGCCACTGGTTTATACTGCTCTTTGTGTCAATATGTTCACAATTAGTTGTTAGCTGTTATTAGTTCATATTTATAGATTTTTTTTCAAAAATGTCTTTAATATTACCACAACTACATAATAATCTGTCTAGGATGTGACATACAAATATATCATGCTTGGTGTTGACTGTGGTATTTTCAAAATCCCAGAAGCTATTATTTTTCTGTCAGCAGCTCAGTGATTAGCCAATTACATATAAAAGAGCTGTCCAGTTTCCTGGGAAACATCCTTGTTACTGATCCCACGAGACGAGACGAAAAACACTGCTGAGTGGGGAGTCTGGCACTGAATGAGCAGTAATTATTGGATAGAGAAATCCCTCCAGTATTGTAGGTCAGTGCATCAGATAACCCCTGAGAGTCGCATTTCACACACTCCTCCATACTAGAGCGTTTAGACTAGAAATGAAATTCACAAAATATTCATATATAACTAAGCTACATTTTACAGTATGTTAGCTATACTCACATCTGTCCATGAACTCTCTGTAACCACATTTAGTGATTTTCAGTCCTCAAATACATTGTAGTCCACATTCATTCTGGACTGAATATTTTGAGGGGTGAGTGCAATTTGTACTCTATTTGGAGAGGTACTTTAATAATCTTACTATTGATTGAATAGCCTTTTATTCACTTCTGGGCTCTGGTTGAGCATTGGGTATCATTATAAAAGTCCTCCTTTTCAAAATAGAATACTTCCTTAAATGAGCATGCATGCTGACGCAAGTGTCTACACACCCTCCAACTAATTGCTGTCGTTCTTTGAGTTGTGCTTGTTATCACAGATAAAAATACCAAAAGCAGGCTTGCCTGATAAGAGCACGGAAGCCAGACTGAGTTCAAACCTAATTCTGATTTGTCATACATTACCACAGATGAACATACACTATGACATAGAAACTTTATTTCAAAGAATATTTGTACTGTGTCATGGTTGACATTCCTAACAGATGTACAATTGAATGCACTTCAGTAAAAGTGTGATCACTTTCTCACACAGGCTTGACCACAGGAGGAAGACACAGAAGCATGTATGTTTTTTTAAGCTTTCATATCCTCTCTCGACAAGTTAGGTTACTGTTCATATGGAGCCAAGCCAAACTGAACAATAAGTTTGTCATCATGGCATGAAGGCAAACTCAGCTGTTTCATCATCTCTGTGCTCACAATTACACCCAGGCAGGGAACTCTGTCTGCCTCCTTCCCTGCTATCCTCATCATTTTGTGTTTTCCTCCTCTTCCTCCTCCTCCCCTTTCACTTATTTGCCTCCTCACTTTCTTTCAGGCGTATTCTGCCTGGATCCTCCCCTGGGTTGCAGCACCGACGCAGGTTGGCGTCATAGTGGTCTAATTTTACTGCTGTTGATGCTGATGTTAAAAGAAGCAATAGACACCTGCTATTTCTGCTGCAATCTCCCTGGGGCTGACGGGGAGGTATAAATAGAGTTATTAGGCGCTTGGTCGCACATAGAGGCTTTATTGAGGAAAAAGAGGCTCTGCTTAGAAGGAAAAGAAAACAGATAAGGTGTTATGCAACAGCACAGTGCTCACAACTCTACAAGATTCAGTCCAAGCTTTGTATTGTATTGCAAGCAACTAAGGAAGAAGCAATGTATATCTGCAATTCTTTAAACTTTACAAAATATTAAAATGTTTTGATTCCTTTCAGGTTTTGGTGGAGCACGCCTGTATCCATAAAAGAAGCAGAGTTACAATTCCTGATAACTTGGCCATGTTGCACAAAAGGGTGCGCCCACAATGAAAGAGCTCAAACGTCAGCATAAGTAAGCTCTTGTGAGATGGAAGTCTTCCACCTAGCATGTCCCTCACGCATGCACAACACGCATTTCCTGTGTTTCCTGTGTAACGTCATTAAGCAATATGCTTTCTGATGATTCTATGTGGTGAAATATTGATAAACAGTGAAATGAGCAAGTGTGGTGAAAGAATTACAATAGGAGGGGAGAGGCTGGAAAGGTCTGATGACAAACAGTTAATAAGGCTGTGCAAGCTTTTTGACAAAACTACCAAGTGTTGTAAAGATTTTACTACCAAGATAATGAAATCAACACATCAATCCATATGCAATAGGAACCACACTCACCAGAAATATGACCTCTCACCTAGCTTCATATTAAATTAAATTACCATTGTGGTAGTGATGAAGGTACTGTCTTTGTATTCATAAATTGGTCTTCTGAATAACAATTTTCTGTTTAGGAAGGCACTGAATTGTGGGTTAGGCTGAAGCATGTAACTCCTGGATTTGAGAATACCTTTCACGCACCTGAACCATGAAGATGCAAGTTGAAATAAAGAACCAAATGGCCTTAAACAGTTCATGAAATTACTTTTTAAAAAACAATTAAGACAAAGATAGCAAAGAAAACGTGTGTTCTACATAAAAAAAGAAGCAAATGAGCAATTTGAAACTGCCTTGGTATATACATTGTAAATGTATACTGTGTGTTTTGGCTGTAGGAGGTGGTATTTTTACGAAGGCACAGAAAAGAAATACGCAGATCGTGTTAAGACTGTTGCTTTCGGATCCTCTTAAGATTTCTCTTGTGTAATCATATGTAGTAGTCTTGCAGCGAGTACATTATTATTGTATGTCGTTTCAGCCAGCCTATAGGAACTATGCATGACGATTTTCCTCGCCCATGTCATAGCATGCCAATAGTCAAAACGAACGTTTTCTGTGGAGAAACCCCAGACTACTTAGAGGAATAGTCTTTGAGCGGAAAAGGTGTCTGGCCGAGCTTCAGCTGGCAGACAGCAGCAGCGAGACCTCGTAGCACTCTATATTTGGCCACGGAAATACAACGTCATCGCGCTAGGCTTGCAAGTTTAAAAAAATGGAAAGAACGCACTGACGTCAGAACCCTGACGTTTGGTTAACCTTGGCAACAGACGGAACAATAAATAGAGCCAGTAGATGTGCAGGAAAAATACCACTATCCCTTACTGCGACCAATTTTAGACATTGTTTGATGAATATCGCTGGATCTGCTGTTTTGTCTGACTACAGTTATACATCTAATGAGAAAACATGTTTATAGGCCTATATGTCTGAACAAAATGAAAAGAAAGTCACAGATTTGACCACACAAACTGAACTGAATTTAAATATCACTATAGTTTATTTACATCTCTTACAAACAACATTCATCTTTACGTTGTAAAAAAATAAAATCGAAATTTCATAAATTAAAACCACTAATGTTTTCACAGAAAACTTTATATTAAGACCACTCAGACCATGGTTAAGACAAAGCACGCCAGTTTTAAAGTTTCACAAGCAGTTCACAATTATTCTCACATTCCATCAACCAAAAAATAAACTGTATCAATAATAACTAGCTATTGCTCTGGGCAAACATCAATACTACAACAAGTTTTGTTATCTAGCACCATAAAATCATATATGCACTCAGAAAACAACTAGGTGGTATTAGCTGAAACATGCTTTTTAACTTGCTACATTGGTGTAATAGGCAAGTATAGATAAAGGCAAATAAAACCATAAATAATTTCTGGTACATGTCCATTCCATAGCCCTGTGATCTGCACATCTATCTTACATGAAGAAAATGTGCTTGATAGGAAGTATTATTATTTCTGGAAGAGTCTTTAAAGAGCTAGCAGAGTTGGTGAGCTGAGGGAGTCAGAGGACTGCTCATTGCTGCTGCTTCCCCTCCTGTGGGCAATGCCGCAAGTAGGGAAGGTCTCTGGTTCTGGGAAGGAGAACACAAATGAAGAGGTGTAGGTGGTGCAGGCAGGGGTACAGGTCACCACAGGTGTGCACAGGGGTTCAAAGTCACTGTTACTGGCTGAAGCGTGAAGGGGCTCCCAGTCCTGAGTTGTGTAGATAGAGTTGGACAAGTCAACCTCTGGCACTGAGTGTGCTGTCTCCATCTCCGTCTTTGCCAGCAGGTCCAGTGACTCCTCTAGTACAGAGGCTTCCAGATCTGTCATCTTTACCGTACTGCCAGAGACTGTGGCAGAGGAGAGGATGGAAGTGCTGCTGGAAAAGATTGAGTTGGAGGAGGTGAAAGTTGGCTGGCTGGAAGTAATAGTAGATGTCACTGGGATGGTGGTTTGTTGCTGTGCGGACACCTCAGTGGTGTGGCAGGAGTGGGCAGAAGAGATGGAGGCCATTGGGAAGTCTGTCTCTACTGCTGAGGGGATTTTGCAGATGGGTTGATGAGCAGCCAGGATGAACTCAAGCCTCTCCTTCTCCTTCAGAAGACTGGCAATATCATTCTGCAGGCTGGACTTCTCATCCTCCAGCATATCAGTTTCCTGCAAGGGAGAGAGAAATAGAGGTCATTAACCTGGCTCTTGGATAACACTGCTATTAGCTGTGAAAAGAAATACACTGACGAATTAAAGTAAATCTGTCAGATACTTACAGCTTGCAGAGTGTCTGTGAGCTCTCGCCTCCTGTTGCGACATTTTGCTGCTGCTTGCTTATTTCTCTCCCTGCGAATTCTTCTCTTCTCTTCCTCCTCAGGTGTCACCTGCACATAATAGAAGAAAATGTTAAGGTCCGAGCTCTATGATACTTAATACAGTGTAACAAGGAAGTGACATAAAACTTGACATACATGGTGAGACAATAATTACCTGTTCTACTCTGCCCCTCTTGGTATGAACCTTGGATGCTGCAGACCTCATTGCTGGTCTGGAGTAGGTGGAGCTGGGGCTGGAGCTGGAGCTGTAGGGATGAGCTCTGTGAGAAGGGGCCACTGAGGAGATCAAAGGCTGGACCATCCACTGCAGATCTGGGCTTGTTGAAATGGCTGTGACGGTGGGGATGAAGGAGGCACTTGATCCTGTCAGCTCAGTGAAATCCTGAATGGAATGAAGCAAAAGGACCATCAGTATTTTTGTTTTCAGAAGGGGGTGCAGAATTGCAGAATGTCTGTGAATGAAGCAGTAGGTCTATAAAAAGCTGGATGGTTTAAAAATATCCATATGATGTCAGCTATGACGTTACACTCTCTCTATGGAGTTTCCAGGTGGATAAATGAAGATTGCCCTGCACTGTGTGCAGCGCAGGTCAACAGACTATTTCAAGCACAACTCGGAAGAGGCTATTTATCATTTTGCTTATTGCCCAAATTTATAGTTCATAATTAAATCAATGTTAAAGTCATTACTATCTTTCCAAGTTCTTCCTTCTTGCCAAACAACCGAATGTCCTGTAAATAAATATTAGACTACATAGGCATAACCATCGTTGTAATAAAAGTTTATTAATAACTGACTGGGCCTACCTGAGATTGAGGAGATCCCATGCTGGAGTAAGATCCCGCTGGTGACGGGTAGTATCCCACATTGTCCCCGGACGGGGAAGCAGTGCTGCAGCGGGAGGAAGAATCGCACTCCGTGGTGAAACCAGTGAACATCATCTTTCTCAAAAAACAGCAAGAAGATCCAAACAAACTCTACTGAGGGGAAATGTAAACTTGTGAAGAGTAAATCCCTTTAGTAGGCTTGTGAGAGACTGTAGTGTGCTGCTCCCGATCTGTTCTACCTAGTCGTCGGTTCCGTTACTGAAAGTTGAACTGCCAACTACAGCCGCTCGGTGACCTTTTATAGTCTGAGACGAGTGACGCCGCTACTGGGAGTGTTCCTCACGCGGCACGGAGGGGAGCAAAACACCACAACACGGACTCAGCAACGCAGTACAAACGACAAATATTGCTTGTATATTGTTTAGATACATTAATGATCTAATATGTTATGTCTGCTTGTGCTGTTTAAAAGCAAAAAGTGGAATTTAAAAACATTTTAAACTCAACCTTGAGAAATGGAATATTCCAGAAGCGGGATCCCCAATACGTAATTTTCCTAATATGGTGCATCCTGTAAAAAGGGCGGGCCTTGCTGGGAAACAAACCATCCAACATTAGCCGACATCGAGATGACTTATGTAAGACAACAAATAAAGCAGCTGTTGTGAAAACTAAAGAACTGTGATAATGGTCAGCAAAAGTACATCCTACACAGCAAAGTGCATCAAAGATAAATTTGAACATGTCTGTTCTGAGCTAAGTGTATCAAATAAAATATCACCAAGATATTTTTACATTTTTCATTTCAAGAATATGAAGAAGAAGACTCCCATATGTGGGCTTTAATGCATTAGTATGTGGTGGAAAATAACTAAATGCATTTATTTGTAGACTGCTTGAAAAGTTTTCATTTTCTGATATTTCATACATTGACTCCACTACATTTCAAAGGCTGATTTTTTTTTTTACTCCACTTCATTTATTTGATAACTTTAATTTCTCATTAATTTTCAAAATCAGATTACTTAAACAAAATACATATAATCATAAGACTTTACTGGTTCACAATTTACCCAGCAACAGTAGGCTATATATATAGTTAACATTAGCTCCACCTTTACCAGCTGCAACTTTCAAGTGCTGAAGACATTGCATCAATATTTATAATCTAATAATAACTGTGCAATTCTGCATACTTTTATTTTTGGTACCTGAAGAATATTTTGATTCAATGCTTTGTCCTTTTACTAACATTTTGAATTCAGGACTTTTACTTGTATTTCTGCACTGTGGTATTGCTACTTTTAAATAAACAATGCAAGTAGCCTCATTCTTTCATTACTGCAGCTGTCTGACAGAGCTGTAACTGAGGCATAAATATACCAAAAACCAATCTGGTTTGGTCATGTTGTGTTAAAAGTCCTTTAGCATTGGAGTTTTTGATTTGACATATGCTTATTCAGTGTATACAGAAAAAATAAATGGTAACCTAAATTCTTGAAATTCTTGATAATTTGAATTGCAGTAAAATCATGAATTATATAAAGAAATGTAGATTGAAAATTATGTAAATTTAAATATAATATAGGCCTAAACATAACTCTGTTTGTTGGCAACCTGCTGTTGTTGTTAAAAGGCTTTCATGCTCTGAGATGCAAACAAATGTGTTTGTTGACAGGGGACAAATGAATGGACATAGTTTGCATGCAATCTAAGAAACTATGTAAACATGCACCAGGAACACTATTAATACATGTCAGAGCACAAGCTGTTACGTCTATATTACACCCTCAGGCACTGCTTGTACCTTCAGTGTGCAATCCAGGCAAGGGTGTGTTTACTCGCAGAGCAAGTTGATAATTGGTTTCTTGCATGTACTTTTCAGCAGCAGCAGTTTTATGTCTTCTTACTGTGTTCAAGGTTATTCATAAAGGTCTTCCCCTGTTCCCCTGTAGAGGGAATCCTCATGCATCGCCCTTTGTGACTTGCATAATCACCTAGGATACATAAGTGAAATGCAGGTGTGACTCTGAGCCAACCTTCAGATTTCAGGCTATTGCTTTTCAAATGAATGGTTTAACTGAAATACTCTATCGCTTTAAGCACATTTTTAATCCCATTCTAATCAAAACTATCATCACTTTTTTCTGTTAACTAGAACTTCATAAAAATGTAGGCCTAGTGTAGAACCAGCATAGTTTGTTGTCTTCTTTTTCTTTGTGAATCTTTGCATTTGCAGGGGTTCTTTAGGAACCCCAGCGTAGGCTACAGGCTACAGGCAAGGCTATTGTTAAAAATTATTACAATATTATGAGAATCAGAATCACCTTTATTGGCCAGATGTGTTGAACCCCTGAGGAATTTGACCTTGGTACAGTGGCTCTCAATGTGCATGAACAATGCTCTTCCATTAAATAATGAGTAGGCAAAATAAGGCAAACAAGAAAAAAGAATGTGCATTGGGAAAATAAAAAATACAGTATTGATAAATATAAAATATATGTGTATAAACACATAGTTTAGATGGCAATTTTAAAATAGATGTATACAAAGGTATATTTTCAAGGTATCATTATTATAAGTGTTCACCTGCTTTTATTACAAGTATAAAGTGTTAATAATAGTATTATTGTGTCAGAGTGCATCGATATAGGTTAAAGGACTTGTGTTTTGTTTCCCGCGCTCATGTTTTGTTTAACGTTTCCGGTTGCCATAGCAACACTCCACGCCTTCAAAACAGTGACGTCCTTATTTTGCATAGCAACAAAGATAATATGATGAAGAGCAGCCACTCAACAAAGTAAAAAAAAAAGTCTCTTCAGCACCGCGCAACACGTCATTACTTCCTCGACTAACCCGAAACCTCTGGTTCTAGGAAAGTGTGTCAGAGTGGGAGCTCTGTCTGTTTTGTCGCTCTTAGACGGCGCTGTTCTCCATGTTCTCTGTGGAGCAGCGGAATGAACCAAGAAACCAAACAACCCGTTCACATTGTGAACTGTTTGATTATTTTGTTTGCCTAGTTGGCACAAGCAGAAGTTTCCCAGTTAGTCAGGCTGACATAGACTATTGGTTCAGAATAATGTGTTCAGTTCTTAGGAGGTGTGAAAAGACTGATGCAATATGGGTTATCAATCAGCATGAAGGCGAATTGGTGACAATAATAATAATAATAGAAGAAAATAACAATGCCAAATTAGCGGCAGCAACATAGCTAAGTTAATTCTCTTGTGGATGTGAGCTCTTTATACCCTATTTTTATCTTAGAATGAATCTTATTAAAAATCTATAGGCTAGTTAATTTTAGCCTCATTATTAATTTTAGTCTCATGTTAGCCCAAAACTGTTGCTGATAACCCCTTAAAATTGTGTGATGACATGGGTGGAATAACTTGATCCTATTTGCCTAATTTACACAAACCTTGAACTCTGATGTCACTCAGTCTATAATAAACTCCGCGGTCTGTGCACATTCACGCTCAAGTTGCCTTGATAAAAACAAGTCAGGATTGTTATGCCAGACCTTTGAACCCTTCTGGCCCTGAGCTGCCAGCGACTGAATAGACTCAAGCCGACTACCTAATGATGTACCAGTAAATGAGCCTAGAGGGGGTTGTGACTGCCGGGAAGCAGCCAGAAGCGCTGCCCCTCTGAGCTGAGTGAGCCCCTATTCACTCCAATGGGTCTGTGAGGTCATCTGAAACCTAAATATAGTATGTCCAGTATCTTAGGCTTTTGTCGGAATAACACTGTTGGTACGAATAAATTGCATCAACACAACTGATTAGTATGTTTGAGAGAACAAAAAAAAGGTGTTGTCTCCATTAAATCAGCGAATTAAAGCTATTTTCAGAAAAGCATAGCGTACGCCTAATATTTTTAATTATGTGCAATGCAAGTGTGGTGTTACTGTGACTGGCAAACTACGTTTATAGCGCTGATATAAAGAGCTTACTCTTGAACTAAAGAGCCAGGTCAAAATGCAGGGGTTTGCCTTCCTCTTCATGCGATGTGTGTGTGTGGTCTGTGGCAGGCAAGGCGCAGCTAATGACGCTGTTATCAACTACAGTGCATGACGGACGGACATGCATTTTGGCGCATGTATCACTTTCGTGTCTGGTTGTGAGTGCGTGGGCCACACACATCCACGTCTGCGCGCTCTCTGTGCGCCACAGCGCGCTCCTGTTCCCCGGAAACACCATATATGGTTCGACTGGTCCATTCCGCGATTGGCTGCTTACTACAGCGACAATTCTGTTGCTGGAGCTGTATTCATATGCAGAGACGAAAAAGGGGCAATGTGATATATGGATGTCACTACATTTAGCTGCCCAAAAGTAATTGGCTAATGTTGCTGGAAGCTTTGTGAATAAATTAAATAATCCTGGGGTTCACAGAATCGGTCTAAATGATAAGTTGGGGCAGCTGTTTACACCAGAGTACACCAGCGTGGTTCTATTTTGGGACATTCAAAGATAACATAGAATGCCGGGCCATGTGTTTATTAATATATTGCCATGTCATCAATTGTATTTACTTGCACGAACATTTTTGTTGCCACGAATTGAGATAGGTCTGGTGAACATATATGAACACATTTGAAACATAAACAGCCTATATGCTGCAGATGCATACCTGAAAAGACGTCGTCCATTCACAGAGAGGGACACCTCCTGCAGCCGGGGGTGTCACTTTTTATATGTACAATATTTTTTGATATTTGAGTAAATAAAACAAGTCAAAGATCAAAGACTGCTCAATATTACCGTTCAGACATTTCACACACATAATTATTAAACTAGAAAACATCTGCTTGTTTTTTCCCCTTTCACCTCTCTCTCTCTCTCTTTCTCTCTATCTCTGTGTGAAATGGTTCGGTCTCACCACACAGATTTCATTCACAAAATTCCAGCTCACTATAAAAGGCGGGCCTCTCCACTATTCGCACAGTTACAATTTATGTACCTGGCAAATGGAATATAAGTAGGCATTAGAGGACAGTTTTCTATTTAGAATAGAAAGAATACTCTGTCTTTTTATGCAGTGATTTTAGGTGAGAACATGCATCCAGGCTCCAGCACTGAGTTCGACTCATCATCCAGCTGTAGCACAGCATCGCCTGGCGGGGACACCCCTGGGTGCAGCCAGCATCCTCCTGATTCGCTTTCATCATCAGTGGACAGCGCCAAGGTAGAAGCGGATCTGATCATCCATCCAAATTAACCCTCACAGAACAAAATCTTGCAGGATAAATTTGATGCATTAGAACAATACCT